CCTTTGTAGCTCCAAAAGCTGGGCTGAGCTCTGGCAGCATGTAAAACGTAACAGTGCCATTGCAAAGGACGCATGCCTTGTTCACCGAGGACAATACAACTATCTGTCGAACTCCTTCTTGATCACTTCCCGCTGGAGGACTCTGGGAGAATAGGATCGGTAACCGGGATGCCAATATAAAGGTAGGCTCGGCGGCTTCATCTGGGGAAGCTGGCGGGAGGCATACGAAGTGCAAGATCTCAGCTGCAGAGGTGCCGATGTATAGATTTTCATCTGACAGTCATCAATGTTAGTCAACCTGGGGGCCATCGAGCAGGCTGTCCCTACGATCAAAGCAGATAGAGCTTACTCCAGTATTCAACACAGGTGATGTAGACGTCGGAGCTATCCTCGGTCGCTAATGGTACATTCTCGAATAAGGAATGTAACACATAAGGTACAGTGCCTGGCGGACTGATCTTGCGCCTCTTTCGGGGACCAATTCCATCATCTGAAGCCATCATTAGGCTGTAGTTCTAGGCATCTCCCCGCAAGCTTGGAGAGTGACGATGTGAGGGCGGTCAGTAGCCAGGGCCAAAGCTCAGGGGGCCGTAGTTGATGGCGGAAGACAACGGCTGGTATTTGTCTGGCAGAATCTCGTATGATCTGTACCTTGCTAAGGTACAATTATACTATGTAACTATACAGTTTGGTTCTAAAGCTATTCGCCAATACTTGAACTTATCTAAAACTGACCTTTTTTTACTTTATTTTTGATGGTTCCTACCCAAAATCTGGGGCTTCAAACATGATGCTAAACTTGGATATGAAGGCGGCCAGCAAGGCGGTCGTCCCAATCTATAAGCCGTTATCTGCCAAACATTCCACTATTATTGTAAACGGGTGCCTCGGGTCAAATGCTATTATCTTGAAACAACACTCATTATACAGCCTGCATATTCGATGCCAGTAGATGCGGTCTCAATTTTGACGTTTACATGTCACGAATTTGTATCCAACAACTACATATGTCCCAACCCAAAATCGTACTTTGTACACATACAGTCGGAATAATATCGGCCCGCCCGCCGCGTGTCGTCGCGATAACAGATCTCCATCTTTCCCCTTGGTGGACTGCTATTTGATGTGGGGTGACAGTGCAGACGCCTGGGGCTAGGACCGACAATGGATTCATTTGCCATTACAGAGGGTTTGCTTCCTCAGGACCAACATGAGGACCAACCTGAATCACCCATGTCTAGCAAATTGACCGAAGAGACAAACAAGTTCCAACGTGCCATTGCAGCCTGGAGAGGTAATTATTATCTTATGTGTTGCCCGAGTCTTACTAACATATAATAGGCATCGATTTGGCCAATACCATTGCAAAACTCGATACAACCGCTACGGATCTAGTCGAACAACAGCGTGTTGCACTCGTGCAAAGAAAGGACCTGGCGCAGAAGACGAAAGACTACAAGAAGCTAGATGATGAATCTAAGCTCTCAGAATATAAAACACTCCTGAAATCCTATCAGTCCTTTATCGATCTCTTGACCAACCAAGGCAAGACGTCATCGTCTTCATTCTTACAACTATACTCTTCATTATCCGAGGCCCCAGACCCATACCCACTCCTCGAAGCTTCCGTCGACTCCCTTGTCCTGTCCGAAGATACGGTTCCCAAACTGACCTCAGAACGGGACCAATTGCAGAAGTCGGTGGATCGTCTCACCAGGCAACAAGAGGAGACCGAGAAACGCCTACAGGAGGAACGCGCTGCGCGGAAGAAACTAGAGGAAAACCAGGAATCAAGAGCCAAGGAAATCGAAGCATCATGGGAAGCTGTCTTGACAGAAAAAACGAATAACTGGGCGGCAAAGGAGAAGGCTTTGGAAGAGAAAGTGGAAAACCAGGATCGGCTGATCAAGGAGCTTAAAGCAAGCTATGAAGTCTCCCAACGCCTGGGCGAAGGTGAGAACCAGGGTGATGAGAGTGAAGATTCTCGGAGTGGCGCTACAGCAGCTGAGCTGGAGCTTGTTTCTGCCGATTTAGAAAAAACAAGCTTGAGATTGGCTGATGTGGAGGCACGCAATGAGCAACTGCGGCTGGAGCTGGCTCAGGCTGCATCACATGCGTCTGGTCCAATTTCTGTTACGGACGACCCCGATTATCTGCGGCTCCAGTCGGAGAACTCTTCCTTGCTTCGGAAACTAGATGCTGCACGATTTGACAAGGACTCGGAACGGCACACCTGGGAAGCCAAGCTACTTCAATCGGAGCGGGCAGCTTCAAAGGCAGCGGTTGAAAGGGAAGAGTTGCGTGCGCGGTTAGCAAAGGTAGCCGACTACGACGATATCCGCCGAGAGCTGGAGATGATCAGGTCGATTGAATTTGCAGCTGGTGACGATGATGATGCTGGAGACGGTGCTGGCGATGCTGCGGTTGGCGGCAATGGGGAGGAAACGAAATCCAAAGACAAGAACTCGCTAGAACAACTCCTTATGGCCCGGAATAAGAAATTGACGGATGAGCTCACCATTTTGCGAGTGTCGCATCGCGATATCCAAGATCAGCTCGAAGCACTACGAACTGAGCTTTCTAGTTCGAAAGGAGAGCTAGAAAAGTCGCGAACCCTATCAACTACTCTTGAAAATGACCTCCTTCGCGTGCAAGAGGAGGCTACCAACACATTCCCGTCCTCGGCAATGTCTATTGCAGGAACCTACACCTCTAGGTACCCCCACTCTGCCCGTCGGGGTGCGTCATCGCCCACCTCATCCATCATCTCTGGCTTTGACCAGAGTGCCGTGTCTGCAAACACCATGGAATCTATCCGTGCAGGAGAAGCTGTTGGTGGCGGTTCCGGTCTCCTACCTATGATTCAAGCCCAGCGGGATCGCTTCAAGAAGAAGAATGCTGAACTCGAAGAAGAGCTGTCAAAGCTATATGCCACTGTCAAGTCCCTCCGACAGGAAGTTGCATCGCTCCAGAAGGACAACCTGAGTCTCTACGAAAAGACTCGATATGTCTCGACCTACAGTCGTGGCCAGGGTGCCTCCACATCTGCATCATCGTTTGCAAACACCCCCAGCTCAACATCTGTCTATACCTCTGCCGACACGCCTTCAGGTCTGTCCCTCGACCGATACCAGAATGCCTACGAGGCTCGAATCTCACCATTTGCCGCCTTCCGTGGCCGTGAATCAACACGTGCATATAAACGCATGAGCCTACCAGAGCGGATCGTATTCTCTCTCACTCGAGTTATTCTTGCCAATCGGACGAGTCGGAATTTGTTCGCTGGCTACTGCTTCGCACTGCATCTTCTACTTTTCACTGTGCTCTACATGATGAGCACAACGGAGATTGAGAAGCATAGCGCTATGGCCGCCGTTGGTAGCGCAGCTGCATATGGTAGTGGAGGCGGGAGCACGGGGAGTGGGGGTCAGCTGCACGGTGATGACTGGCAGCAAGAAGGTTTCAACTAATGTTTTGTCTGATGTTTACACAGCGAAGAGCTCCGGAGTTCTTATTTTATCTTTTTTTTTTCTCATGATAATAGTGGCGTTTGGGGTTCAGTTGTACTATTCTTGGATGTGGGTCTGCATCGTGTAAATTTGACTAGCAAATATGTGTCTGTGACTAGCAGTGAGATGTAGATTTTGGGCCTTTCCAGGGCGAAGTCCTATAGGCATATGTCCGAGAGATAGCCCTACCTTTACATCTTCCAATGCTATAAGACTTCTACTTGACCTTGGTTTATTTCAAGCTGGTTCTATTAGATATTGAGAGCATGTTTATTTGAAAAATAAATAAATAAATAAATAAAATGTCGAAGTAAAAAAAAAAAAGAGTAGGCCCAGGTTGCACGCGGAGCAATAAGCTTAACACCCGGGCTTCTTGTACGAGGGGAAGGTAGTATATTTGGGAAGACACATAGCATGCTCTATCACATTCTCTTACCAATTTCTATTTTTGGTGAAATCCAAGTTCTCCGTTCCTTTTAGATTGATGTGCATGTCGGAGAATTATACTCCGTCAGATATATATAAATCTGACCAGTGGATTTCGCAAGTCAAACCCAGACAAAAATGCCGACAGTCGATAAAGAAAAAAGGTCAGCAGTCATAGTAGGTTTGAGCTACAATAATCACCAAGTGGTCAGAGCAACTTTCTGTGTAAGATGGCGTTGTCTAGGCGCTAAGTGCGTTGCAACGGTGGAAAATACGGCCAAACCCCGCCATGTCAGCCTCCGCATTACCCGTGGACCTGACAAGATTGTAAATTTGAAATCGCATTGAATTTAATAGAGAACTTGAAGCTTTGATAAGTACCGGGGGCCCATGTAGTTAATGCCTGCAATTTCCCCGAGTTCTGCACAACTAGGATTAGGACCAGTGCATCGGACACTAGCCTATACAGGTAATTCCGCATATCCAACCGCCCAAGACACATGGCAATATTCTTCAGTCAGATTTATTAATAGAATCGGGGAATTTATAGAACTAATCATATTGGCTCGGTTCAAGCTCCTACAATTAAACCGCCAAGGGAATACCCCGTTGTTTTGCTTAGCGCGTTGCTATCTCCATTTAGTCAAAGTTGTTTGCAACTGTCGACAAATCAAAAGACAGAAAGGTTGGAAGGGTCAGCAATGGGCGCGTTCATCTACCAATAAGAGCCTGTGGTCGAGCTTTAATCCCTGCTAGTACCTGCAGGTTGCATCGATCGGTCTGTTAATAGCCACAGTATTGTTTCGAGTCGGACCTGTGTTACTATCTTTGATATACGGATGAATTGTAAGATGATTGCATTTAACACATCTATATCCGCCCCTCGGGCTGGCCAATTTACCATATCAATATCTCCCCTATCATTCCTTTCTTCTACACGCTTACCTCCCTTTTTCATACCCAACTTGAATCAAAGGCTTGCTGGACAATCCTTGATTGATTAAAAAACGTCACCGCCATTGACCATCCCTCTACCCCTCTGCTTAATAGCATAAGTACACAGCAATGCGTTTTGCTCCTCTCATCATCTGCCTGGCGGCAATATCGCTTGCTGCCCCAACACATTTCCTCGACGGTGCATATGACTGGACAGATGAACTGGCAGAATTCTATGGAAAAGTGAGCGAGTACATCAATTCTGCAAAACACAACACTAGAGGGCCGCATGTGTGCGATACCTCCAAGATTGCTATGCCTTCCTATGCTTCTGGAATGGCCAGCCCGTCAGGTCTAAAGCCAAGATACGTTGCACTTGGACGGGGAACCCAGGTATGGCAAACATTTGCTCTCTTGTTGAATTACGTTGCTCATTATAAACCTAGAACTATACATGTGCGGACTCCACTTCCAGATCAAAACCCGAGGCGGTAGGAGCTGTCGCAAGACTCTACAATGCCACATGCATTGCAGCCAACTACCCCGATCTCCTGGAAAGGGTCCCCAACCTTGCCTACAAAATTCCCCTACCAACCAATGAATATGCCTCGTTCCCTCCCGCCAACATCGAATTGATGGGGCACCATTTCTTCTCGGAAACAACCCCCGAGTTCAACTTGAACCTCACACCCGAAAAACAGAATGGCATTGTCATGACAAAGAAGGGAGGTGCAATTGATGCACCCTCAGGTGCAGCTTCGGGGAAGTACGGTGCCGTCCCTTGGCTCTACCTCCTTACTACCGATGGCACAGTAGGCAACTACAAGAGTGTCTATCGGGTCAACACTGCCGCTGGGTCGCCGCCAAAGACCTGCAAGAATATGCCGCCCGCTTTTGAAATACAATATGCTGCAAACTACTACTTCTTTGGGGAGTAGTTCAATTCTTTTTTTGTTATGTTTGTATATAGTTACAGAAATGGGACTTCGATTGGAGGGTATGCTTTTATATTTGCGGGGCAGGCTCTGTTTTATTTTGTTATTCTATTACTTTATTTTATGACCGATCATGATCTGGTATAACTAAGGGTCAACTGTCCCCGAAATCTTTATTTTTCATCAACCATATTGTTCTATCCCATCCACTACATTTGGTAGATAGAAACTGACTACCAAAAAAGACCATCACAACCCCGCATAGTCTTGTATAGCTTTTTATGGCTAGACTTTGAGGGAACAATGAAGTAATGCATCAACTACAAGGTACGTATGTAAGTTCCTTTGGGTAGGTAGTCTTCTCCATCACATGTCTTTAAGATATCTCCTTCCCTTGTCAGCGACAAAATAAGGGAAAACCTTAATTTTCGCAAAACACCTTTCTATATCCTTAAGTATATTATAACCTTTGGTCTTTGCCATTCTCAATTGCTTCATGTTTCTTTCATTCAACAATACAGGGCTTAATGAACCACGTGACGAACATGGAGGAGGCAATACACGTGATGCGCTCAGTTGGATGAAGCGCTAAACCCGAAACAACCTAGCGCCGTTCTGATTTTCTGAAAGATCCCAAAGGCGCAAAAAAAATCTCGACCGCATCAACGAGCAGCTTCGGTACCGATCCGCATCCGACAGATAGTCAGCGGCCAATTCTGTTTGAAGTGCTTGATCCAACTATCTCAGATACGTTGTCATTTTTTCGTCCATCTTTATCGACTCTTTCGGAACTTTTATTCCAATTTTCAACTACTCGGTTTAAGCACTCGGAAACGACAGCTTAACCTTCCTCCCCCCATTTGACTCTTTTCACAACCGAGTCTTATCTCTCAAAACATATACAATGTCTTTCGCTCCTCGTGGACGTGGTGGATTTGGTGGTGACCGCGGTGGCCGTGGTGGTGGTCGAGGTTTGTTCAATCCAGTCCTTCCGAAGCAACAAGGTCAAAAGTCTCGCTGGTGATTCTACCGCACCAATGGCGATGATTCTCTTCCTTGTTGCGATATTACAGTTCATATAGCTGACTTTACAAAGGTGGCTTCGGTGACCGTGGTGGCCGTGGAGGCCGCGGCGGATTCGGCGGTCGTGGAGGTGGCCGTGGTGGATTTGGTGACCGTGGTGGCCGTGGTGGTGGCCGCGGTGCTCCCCGTGGTGGCCGTGGTGCTCCCCGTGGTGGCCGTGGTGCTCCTCGCGGTGGCGGCGGTGCTCGTGGTGGTGCCAAGGTTGTCATTGTAAGTGTTGAAAATTACCATGATCATTGATATCAGTAACTGACAGATTTTTTTTCCCTTGCAAACAGGAGCCTCACCGTCACGCCGGTATCTTTGTCGCTCGCGGCGGCAAGGAGGACATGCTTGTGACGAAAAACCTTACCCCCGGAACCGCTGTCTACGGCGAGAAGCGTATCTCCGTCGAGGGTGCCCCCGCTGAGGATGGTGCTGTTACCAAGAACGAGTACCGTGTCTGGAACCCCTTCCGTTCTAAGGTAAATATTTCCTTCTCCTGGTCTAAACGGACATGGCATTGTTGTCAATTTTATCGAATTTTTCTCGGAATTCTTTGATATTGGCCTGATAGCCAAAGACCGCCTGTTGCTTAGTTCTTGTTCTAACATCTTTTCTTTTCTAGTTGGCTGCTGGTGTGTTGGGTGGTCTTGATGACATCTACATGAAGCCCGGCTCCAAGGTTCTCTACATTGGTGCTGCCTCCGGTACCTCCGTCTCTCACGTCGCTGATATTGTCGGACCCACTGGTAACGTCTACGCCGTCGAGTTCTCTCACCGTTCCGGCCGTGATCTGATCGGCATGGCCACTCACCGTACCAACGTCATCCCCATCGTCGAGGATGCCCGTCACCCTCTCCGTTACCGTATGCTCGTGCCCATGGTCGATGTCATCTTTGCCGATGTTGCCCAGCCCGATCAGGCCCGTATTGTCGGATTGAACGCCCACATGTTCCTCAAGGCTGAGGGTGGTGTCATTGTCTCCATCAAGGCCAACTGTATTGACAGCACAGCCAAGCCCGAGGTTGTGTTCGCCAAGGAGGTCCAGAAGATGCGCGAGGAGAAGATTAAGCCCAAGGAGCAGCTGACTCTCGAGCCTTTCGAGCGTGATCACTGCATTGTCGCTGGTATCTACAAGCGTACTGCCGCATAAAGGTCTTAATCTCTGGTCATGTCCATTCCCTTTTGATGTTCCCCTCGGCGTCTCGTGTTCTGTGATGTATCGAATGTTTTCCACCTTTCTTGTGACAGGTCTTTCCGCCTATGTACTTTTGGCTGCGTCTTAAAATCTAGTTTTCCTTTTCGATGAATTTTACACGCTGGAATGTGTCATACTGGGTATCTTGATCTGAGGTGATGAGATAGCTCTGGTTAGCGTATGATATCCGTACCTAGGTAGCAACCAGTGGCCAATACAAGCGATTTAGTCTTGTCAATATTTCGTCGGCAACATTTAAGCTATCATTTTAGATCTAGCGTCCAGTCTTGGGAGGGTTCCAAGCTTGTTCTGCTGTCGTCGGTCGACAGATGCCTAGTAGAACATGTGACATAGACTCAAGAAACCCCCACAAAAGAAGCATTATATTGCTAATTATTGCTATCATCTAAAAATGAAAAAGGTCTCGCACATATTTCACTAGGCCATCTCGCTGTCCCAATCCCATTCTCGGACTTGTGCCGGGCCTCCCGGTAATCGGATTTCTCACCGAGGCTTGCACCAAGAAATGGCTCGGAATTGATGCGCGAGACTCAGATCAAGTGATGATGTTCATCGGATATAGTAACACCATTGGCTGATGGGGGAATTATCATGACAGAGCGAGCGTGGGGGGAGAGACGAAGTCCGCTTCAACCCCGCAAGGTGTGTTACTATATAATGGTAACACATCCATTTTCCGTTCGTAGTTGACATATACTTCAAATTCATTGCACCACCCTCTTCCCAATAACTAGATTAATCCTATCAATTGACCTCATTGCCCAATCTACGTTTTCACATACCCATCATGTCCATTCTCATCACCGGTGCGGGGGGTTATGTCGGCCAGGAACTGGCGGCTTCCCTCCTCGAAAGAACACCGGCCACGACAACCGTGACAATCACCGATATCGTTGAGCCCGAAGTCCCAGAGTCCGCTGCACAGTACGCAAGTCGTCTGAGCTGTGTCAAGGCAGATCTCACCTCCACCAAAGAGGTTGACGAACTGATCAGTGCAGCTCGTCCCTATGAGACAGTCTACATTCTTCACGGCATCATGTCCGGAGGCTCCGAGGCCAACTTCGAGCTGGGAATACGCGTCAACCTCGACGCAACACGATACATTCTGGACCGGCTACGCGCGACCATGCCCGGAGCAAAGGTGGTCTTCACATCATCACTGGCAGTCTACGGCCCTGCGCCGGCAGGATTCGTCATTGATGAAACAAACTTCCCACCTGTGCCATCTTCCTCATACGGATCACAGAAACTCATCATTGAGACACTGCTGAACGACTACTCGCGCCGCGGATTCCTGGATGGCCGGTGCGTGCGTCTGCCGACGGTGACAGTGAGAGCTGGCAAGCCCACTCAGGCTGCCAGCAGTTTTGCTAGTGATATCATCCGTGAGCCCTTCCACGGCAAGAAGGCTATTCTGCCTGTGGCTAGGGAAACGGAGATGTGGATTTGCTCGCCGCACACTGTTATCAAGAACTTGATCCACGCGCGAGACGTGCCCAAAGAGGCATTTGGAGAGTCAAGGTCTGTTAATCTTCCTGGGTTGAAGGTCAGTATTCAGCAGATGTTGGATGCTTTGCTGGAAGTTGGTGGTAAAGAGCGTCGGGATCTCGTGGAGGAGAAGTATGATGCTGCTACCGACAAAATTGTGCAATCATGGACTCCTCGATTTGACACTGCTCGTGCTTTCAAGTTGGGTTTTGCAGCGGATATTTCGATGGAAGAGAACATTAGACAGTTTGCAAGCAAGTTTGTATGAGAAGGGCATGTAGCCAATCAATAAGCACGAAATTGGATGACCGAAATTGAATGATCGGAAAACAAGGCGTGTCGGGATACCTCAGCATCAAACAAATCGTATTTTTATATCGTAAATATCGATCTAGACAATATACTGAGCCATTTAGACTGTATTCTAGCCCACATCACGAATCAAGGCAGAGTAAGGAAGTATTCGGGATGTCAAGGGCGGTTTGGAAAAGCGGGTTATGTAATTGGCTGAGCTGGGCGAACAATTTCAGACTTCGGAACCTCAACCTCAGGGTGTCTCCATCAGCTCTTTTCTCCATCTCTCCCCTTTTCCCCCTCCCTCCACCTATACAAGTCGTTCTCAATGGCTTCTCGGCGCCTTGCTTTCAACCTAAACCAGGCTCTCCGCACTCGTGCGGCCCTGAAGTCCATCCAGCCCGTGAAGCGTGGCTTTGCGTCGCCGGTTGCGTTGCCGTCCACCACCCAGTCCACCACTCTCTCCAACGGATTCACGGTACGACCAAGCAACTCATCTCAATGGCATCGCAATTTCGCTAATTCCCTTTTAGATCGCCACTGATCACTCGCCATGGGCCCAAACCTCGACGGTCGGCGTGTGGATCGATGCCGGTAGCCGGGCAGAGACTGACAAGACCAACGGAACTGCACACTTCCTTGAGCACCTTGCCTTCAAGGTTCGACCGCACAACCCCCAAGCTACGAAGCGCTTTTATCTGATGAATATGACTAGGGCACCAACAAGCGCTCCCAGCACCAATTGGAGCTTGAGATCGAGAACATGGGCGCTCACCTCAACGCCTACACTTCGGTACGACCCGGGAAACCACCCAACATCTACCAAACAGAATACTGATCGCGACTATAGAGGGAAAACACTGTCTACTACGCTAAGGCCTTTAACAACGATGTCCCCAAGGCCGTCGACATTCTCGCCGATATCCTTCAGAACTCCAAGCTCGAGGCTGGTGCCATTGAGCGTGAGCGTGATGTGATCCTCCGTGAGCAGGAGGAGGTTGACAAGCAGCTCGAGGAGGTTGTCTTCGACCACCTTCACGCCACCGCTTACCAGGGTCAGCCCCTTGGCCGCACCATCCTCGGCCCCAAGGAGAACATCCAGACCATCACCCGGGACAACCTGACCGACTACATCAAGACCAACTACACTGCTGACCGCATGGTCCTCGTCGGTGCTGGTGGCATTCCCCACGAGCAGCTCGTCAGACTCGCTGAGGAGCACTTCGGTGGCCTCCCCAGCAAGGCTCCTACCTCTGCTGCCCTGGCCCTCACTGCCGAGCAGAAGCGCACCCCCGAGTTCATCGGCTCCGAGGTCCGTCTCCGCGACGACACCATCCCCTCCGCTCACATCGCTCTCGCCGTCGAGGGTGTCAGCTGGAAGGATGATGACTACTTCACCGCTCTGGTCACCCAGGCCATCGTCGGTAACTGGGACCGTGCCATGGGCCAGTCGCCCTTCCTCGGCAGCAAGCTCAGCTCCCACGTCAGCCACCACAACCTCGCCAACAGCTTCATGAGCTTCTCCACCAGCTACAGCGACACTGGGTAAGTTCTTATTATTGCGGATAATATTTTTGTTTAATTGAAAAGATGCTGACTTGATATTAGTCTCTGGGGTATCTACCTTGTCAGCGAGAACCTCACTCAGCTTGATGACCTGGTCCACTTCACTCTCCGCGAGTGGTCTCGCCTGTGCAACAACGTCTCCTCCGCCGAGGTTGAGCGTGCTAAGGCCCAGCTTAAGGCTTCCATCCTCTTGTCTCTCGATGGCACCACCGCTGTCGCTGAGGATATCGGCCGCCAGATCATCACCACTGGCCGTCGCCTGACCGCCGAGGATATTGAGCGTACTGTCAGCCAGATCACCGAGAAGGACGTCATGGACTTCGCTACCCGCAAGTTGTGGGATCAGGACCTCGCCATGAGCGCTGTCGGCAGCATCGAGGGTATCCTCGACTACCAGCGCATTCGTGGAGACATGTCCCGCATGATCTCTTAAGTTGCTTTAGAGTGTGATCGCGTGTGAAGATAGCTGCTGAATTCTCCAGGAAAACTGGGTCTTTGGTAGCTTTGATTTGAATGTACTATCAATCATTGCCTTGGGCTGTTAGATCCCAAATTCGTGTGTGAAATAGCAATTAATGGTTTGCCATAGTAGACTATATAGTTTGCTGCGTTTGCAGCAAACATACCAATTATCTCCTTTGTTCGTTTTATATCTTCCAGTGTTGGTTGTTTGTATTGTCGTTGCCATCGTACTTGCCTCTGCCGCCTTGCTTGTCATCATTTGCCAACTCCTGTTCTCCAACACAACCACAAGTCCTTCTGTTTCCATCTCACGGTTCTTCGAATTGATCATTCGCCGCTCGCTTGCAAGTCCTAAATCCTTAGTACCCTATTTAGGTACTTTGCTCTAAGCACCTTACTCTCACGATTGATATCTAGTCTGACTCGGGTCAATTCGTAACCTCTTGTATGTGGTCTTAATCTTCTCATTTGCTGATCATTTTGCATCATTGCTTTTCCTTACTTCATTCTTCTAACTGAGATTGATATTTTAGTGACTGAGCTTCTCTCATCATGGCGCAATTCGCTACGCTGCCAGCTGAGTTGCGTCAGATGATTTGGGAGTTTGCACTTCCAGCGCGAGTTGTTGAGATTGGAGAACCGTGCGATCCAGATATCATACCAGAGGAAGACCTCAGAAAAGCATGGATCCTGAACAGAAAGCATACAGCTATTGCTCATGTCTGTTGGGAATCCCGCCAAATTGCTTTGGCCAGATCCAAGCCTCCCAAGGGTGTTACTATTCCACCGGACTGCATGACAGACATTCGATGGTGGTGGAATTCTACCGACATTGTTCACTTTAATGCCCCCCCTGAGGTGATCGAAGCCAGACAAAGATGCAGGCTGGTAGATAACCTGCTCGACTTGGAGAAAGTTCCTATTCTGAGCAAAAAGGTCTCTATCAGTGCGGACGTCGTTCACCCTTTCCTGCGGTTCCGTAATAGGTCCGATATGCCAAAGTCCTTGATATGGGAAGTACTTTGCTCAATGGAGACATGCATTATCGCCCTACACACTGTCTGTATTCGAGCCACCAACGAGCAAGCTCGGGAGCTGGGCCTCTTTGGCAACGGCGACGAGCCAGCACAGCTGATCGACCCATTTGATAAGACAGCTATCCAGCGATTCAGACAGCTCTGGAACAACACAAAACAAGAGGTATCTTCAGTCAAGTTCTTCGACACAGTCGATACCGGAAGATTCACCTTTCGAGTGGAAAGGTGGCTCGCGGAGATGTCAGCGGAGTACATCGATTTCAAATGGACCGATCCACCGTTCCCAACTCCAGCAGGACCGCGGAATATAACTGCATTACTTCGTCGGTACCCAGATCAGAGACACAGCCCCGATGCCAAACAATATCTTGTTGAATTCCCCACTCTGGAGCTGAGAATCATGTTTCGACTCTGCCCGCCTGCAGTCAATCAGGTGATTACATAACCATCCCGCATTTGATCGGGAGATTTTTTGAAGGCGATTTTGTTTGAAGTACACTTTCCCATAATTCTTACCACATCATAACAATGGGTAAACGTGGCGGAAAAAAGGTAAATTTGCCTTTCATATGTGCTATAAGAGGTGTTTGTTGTACTGACCGTGTCTCCTTTCTTCCAGGGTGGTAAAGGTCGCGGCGGTGGCGGCGCAGGCCGTACGCGCTCTCAATGGCAAGATATCACCAGAGAGAACGAGAAGTTTGAACGTTACTACAATGAGCCAGAGTTTCTTCCGGAGGAAGAAAAGGAGCTTTTCTGGGCTACCATGCGCAAGGATCTCCCCAACAGTTTCCGTTTCACCGGTTCTCGAGGGTAAGTCACAACTGGGCCATTTTTTGCGATTCGCGCCTCGGGTGGTTTCAAGTGATGCTGACTATTGTCTGACTTCTATTAGACATGCGCTGGCAGTTCAGCAGCGTCTTAAGGACCACCACATTCCTGAAATCACTTCTATCAAGTACGAGAACGAATTCGTCGAGCCCCCGCGCCCAGTTTCCTGGTACCCAGATCAGCTCGCTTGGTCCATGACCACTCCTAAGAATGTCATCCGTCGCTTTGCACCTTTTGCCTCGTTCCAGAAGTTCCTTGTCGCCGAGACCGACGTCGGAAACATCAGCCGCCAAGAGGTTGTCAGCATGATTCCTCCTCTTCTCATCGACGCTAGACCTGGAATGACTGTGTTGGATATGTGCGCTGCGCCGGGCAGCAAGTCCGCGCAACTCATGGAGCTGCTTCACGCAGGTGAAGAAGATGCCATTGCACAAGTCACTGAACAGATCAAGAACGGCACTGCTGGACCCGAACCTCTCGGTCCTGAAGGACTGAACGACGACGGCCGAAGCACCGGCCTGCTGATTGCCAACGATGCAGACTACAAACGCGCACACATGCTTATTCACCAGATGAAGCGCCTGAGCTCGCCCAACCTGATCGTTACCAACCACGATGCCACGATGTTCCCCTCCATCAAATTGCCTCCTCTGCCCACTACCGATGGCAGCAAACCCAAGAACAGATACTTGAAGTTTGACCGCATCTTGGCAGACGTTCCTTGCTCTGGCGATGGTACTGCACGCAAGAATGTCGGTGTCTGGAAGGACTGGACTCCTGGTAATGCTTTGGGACTTTACAGCACCCAGTCTCGAATCCTGGTTCGCGCCCTGCAAATGTTGAAGGTCGGCGGACGGGTCGTCTACTCAACCTGCAGTCTGAACCCCGTGGAGAACGAGGCTGTCATTGCCTCTGCAATTGAACGCTGCGGTGGCGCTGCCAACGTTAAGATCATCGATTGCAGCCAGGAGCTGCCCGGCCTCAAGAGATCTGCTGGTCTGAAAACCTGGAAAGTGATGGACCGAGAGGGCCGCATGTGGAACAACTGGCAGGAGATCGAGGAGCACCGAAACCAGGAGGGCATCAATGGTCTTGCCAGACTTGCAGAGGGCATGTTCGCCCCGACAGGCGAGACTGCCAACCTGCCCCTTGACCGATGCATGCGTGTATACCCTCACCAGCAAGACACTGGAGGTTTCTTCATCACAGTTCTCGAGAAGACATCCGAAATCAAGGCTAAGCCGGAGAGCAGTAACGTTATCCCCAAGGCTTCCGTCGCAGCTCTCGCCGCGGAGCTTGATTCCAAGAAGAACGAGGTAGACGGAAAGCCTCTGGAGAAGCTCGAGTCATTGGATGAATTGGTTACTCCCGATGAAGCCGCTGAGAAGGAGCTTGCAAAGAATGCTACTGTTGCCGAGTCCTCCCACCAGCTTCCGTACTCTGCTACTCTTGATGCATCAATTCCTGTCTCTCTCCCGAAGCGGGATGCAGATGACCTTGAAGAGGCAGTTCCTGCTAAGAGGACTAAACTCGACGATGGTAGCGAAGTGCTTGTCGGTGACCGTCCCGTCCACGTTCCAGCGCCTGCAGTGGGAACTGGCATTGACACGACTGGCAACAGCACACCTGCTGCACCCGCGGCTACTACGCAATCTTTCAAGAAGAAGGGCCCTCGTCAAGAGGAGCCGTTCAAGTACCTTGATCCCAACCACGAGGAGCTTCTTCCCATCTATGAATTCTACAAGTTGTCGGATCGATTCCCCCGTGACCGCTTCATGGTCCGTAATGCCGAAGGTCTCCCAACCCGCACAATTTACTACACCAGTGCCCTGGGCCGTGACATTCTCACCTGCAATGAAGGCCAGGGCATGAAGTTCGTCCATTGTGGCGTAAAGATGTTCGTTAAGCAGGATGCACAGCGTGAGAACGTCTGCAGATGGCGTGTTCAGACTGATGGCCTGAAAATCATCGAGCCTTGGCTGGGCCCTGAACGGTCCGTCGTCCTGACCAAGAGGGAGACTATGCGTCGTCTTCTTGTGGAAATGTTCCCCAAGATCAATGACGATGAGGATGGCTGGAAGTCCCTAGGCGAGATTGGCGAGCAAGTCAAGGATATCCCCATGGGGTGCAGTATTCTTCGCGTTCAAGCGACCGGCAAAGAAGATGGTCTTCCGTGAGTTTTTGCCCCTTTAATATTCTTTCGAATGATATTTGCATCTTACTAACATAACCCATAGTGAGGCCATGGTTCTGCCCTTGTGGCGATCTCTCCATTCTCTGAACCTTATGCTTCCCAAGGAAGAGCGTCGTGCCATGTTGCTGCGTATTTTCAACGACTCCACCCCTCTGGTCAACACCACACAGAAGAAAGGTGGTAAGACTGAGTCGACCGCTGAGGCTGAGGAGGTTGCACTGATGGAGGAGAACGCCGAGGTTGGACAGGAAGCCCAGGACGATGTGGATGAGCGTGAGACATACACCAAGGATGGAGATGAGGAGGATCGCTTCAACACTACTGTTTAAAAGGTTCTACGTTTACATGCTCCTATCATAGAGATCTATGCTGTATCAAAACCCAACATCATGAATTCTGTATCTTTTTTTTTTTTGTCCCTTTGTATGTTGTAAACGGCCTATCCGAGTTATTTTTGCCTTTCTAACTCGCTCTCCTGGCGGGGAGCCATTCTCGGCTCCTTTGTTGACCGTTCTGCGTTCCAGTTGCTCTGCAATTGTCGCCCGCTGGAAGTCGTTGTAAGCCCCAGAGCCTTCATTGATGTATCCCTGATGAATTAGCAAGTGTCGCATAGTCATAATTTCCGCCATGTCTCTTGCTTCCCTTAGGTCGTCAGAGATAGTCGAATTTAGGGTGAGGCATATCTCCTCTCCTACATGTCCAGATATACTCTTTCCAGTTGGGAGAATAGCCTAGGTTCTCCAATCGGAGGACATTGATGAATGATCGCGGAACCTGAATGTGAATAATGCAGGTTATCGGCTGCAGGGCTTCTCCTTTCTGCGAATTTGCGATACCCTTCAACCATTTCCTTTTCTGGAGTCCAGTATTGCGCATTAAAATCGCAGTTAAAGTCTCTACCAGAGTATGTGCTGAGTGGCGTTAGATTGGCTCTCCCATCACTCTCAATGATATCACCCGATAGCCATAATTAGTTTCAACGAGATCTTGTGCCCGGTAAGTGAGAGATATGTGAGAATCTTGGGTCCGTGATTGCTTCTTGAATCTGACGAGTAAGACCAACATGAGCGAGCGCTTCTTGATGGTCCATATTATCGTATTGTTGTCGATTAAGAAAGGCAAGATGCGCGGAGACATATGTCATTAGGTCGTCGGGATTTCGATGTGGATTGGGACGGCCGAAATATCGGCCATACATCAGCCTAGCAACATCTGGTACTCGGTCACCACTGTGGCCGGCTGAAAACAATTCCCTTAACAGGACCAAAAAAAACTACTTTTAAAATAGAAATAAAGTTGCGGATAATCCCCGATTAGGCTTAGTAGGTATCACTTGAATGATATCTGAAAAGATCACTAAAAAGACCTCTAAAAAGATATCACCAAATGAGGTATTTTAGGTATTATTATATTTCCTTGTTTAAAAATGATACAAATGATAGAAAAGTTGAGGGTAGGTGAAATGAAGGAGTCGAGATAAGAAGAGTCGAGAGGTTGGAGAAACATGAGTCGAGAATTGACTGATTTCACCTATCCAGTCCATTTGCTTGACACTAAAATTTCGTTAGAAATTGATAGTTGGAAAGTGAGATTTTTACTTACCATTTGCCAGTACATCCCCTTATTGCGGAGTAATTCCTGGTGTGACCCCCTTTCGACGATCTGAGACCCATTTCCATTCTGGCTCTCTCCAAACACGAAAATGATATCCGCTTTCTGGATAGTTGCCAGTCTGTGCGCAACCGCGACAATCGTCATACTCCTCCGTGCCGCTAGACGTTCAAGGGCACCCTGGACAAGCTTTTCAGACTGCGAGTCGAGACTGGATGTTGCCTCATCTAGAAGCAACAAGGTAGGTTTTCGTAACAATGCACGCGCTATGCAAAGTCTCTGGCGCTGTCCACCACTCATTGCTGTCTGTGCTTTGATGCCTAGATCTGTGGAGTATCCATCAGGCAGGGATGTAATGAAGTCGTGGATCTCGGCATCAGTACATGCCTGAACCAACTCTTCTTCGGTGTATTCTGATGGGTCGAGGCCAAGGGTAATGTTGTCTCGAATAGTGCCCTCGAAAAGCCGTGGTTCTTGTGCTACCAGCGACAAGGATCGACGGTATGAGGTTGTATCTATCGAAGTGATATTTTCGCTGTTGAGGAAAATATTTCCTTTGTAAGGATCGTAAAATCGTTCGAGCATCGAGATCACGGTCGTTTTCCCGCAGCCCGAGGCGCCGACAAATGCAACGAACTGGCCACTTTCAATGGTGGCATCGAGGCCGGTGAATAATGTTTTCTCCTGCGAAGCATACTTGAAGGCAACCTTTTGAAATTCGATATGAGCCCCAGTTCGAATAGCTGTATCGATCTTGAGCTTTTCAGAGTCCTTTTCGGAATCACTCAAATTCAGACGGAAGTCGAGCATCCTGTTCGCTGCAGCAGTTCCCTGGGCGATATTAGGTCCATAGCTAAAGAATTGGCCCGCTTGTTGTCCGCCGAGAATGATAGACATGTACACAACAAAGAAGGAAACCGGCTCATACTCTCTAGACGCTAGCAGCTGACCACCGTACCAGAAGGTAAGCGCCATGGCGCAAAGCTCCACGCTATCAGAGAAGGCAAACACGAGAGTAGCGAACCACGCTTTGCGGAAAGCTTTCTTTTGCTGGTCTTGCAGAAGGTTCGAGTATCTTTTCAAAATGGAATCCTCCATTGTCAATGCTGAAACAGTGCGGAATGCCTCGATAGCTTCTGCGGCAAACTGGGAGCTGCCGGAGTAAACAGCAGCATTCATCGAATCAAACTCCAGTTCATAGCGAATACGCATGAACGCAGCAAGGAAAACGAAGGGAAGAGCAGCAAACGTAGCCACGAGAGATAATTTCCACCCAAAAGAAAAGGCAATGGCGATACAGCCAATCATGCTGCAGAGTGAGATGACTGGGAAAACACCATTTATCCCGATCAAATCTTGGATCTGCTTGGGATCGGTTGCCAGGCGCGAAACGAGTGACCCGGAGGCATTGTCGTTCAGATCGTAGAATGGAACGGACTTTTTCAGAATGTTTTCAAAATATTCCGTCCGACAAGTGGAAGACATTTCCTATAATACTGTTAGGTCCAATGTATAATTCGAGTATGATATCCACTGACAATGGCGAGTGTGTTGGCTGCGAAGCCAATCGCTGCATAACAGGCGGCAAGTCCAAGAGACAAGACAAAGAACCACAACGACCAAAAATTGGCAGCATCGGTTAGTCTCTGGCCTCTAAAGCTGAACACGTCGATAAGCTTTGCAAAAAGCCAACTCTGTAAAGGGTACGCGCCTGATTAATTGTTAATCGGGATCAAAAGTGTTCGGGTAAGACTACTTACAGGCAGCACCCAAAATGCCGAGTAGTGCTAGAAGGAAGAATGGCCATTGAGTACGCGACTCATACATCAAAAGGCCCACGCTAGTGAAGAAGCCACGCTTTTTGGTCTTCTCGGTCTCCTCTTGCGAGTCCTCGGCAGTAGCAGTCGCATAGTGTTCAAGCTCCTCTTTCAAACCTTCTGTGGCCTCCGCTGTATCATCTTCATCATCTGCAGCGATTTCAAGTCTCTGCGCATTGACTAGGCCCCGGTAAAGGCCGTCCTCCACTGCAAGAAGCTCATCGTGGGTTCCTTCTTCAATGTTCAGACCGCCGCGAAGAACAATGATCCGATCAGCTCGTCGAACGGTGGATAATCGGTGAGCAATCACAATTGTAGTTCGGTTTCTAGAGACGCGATCGAGAGCTGCTTGAACTATCTTCTCTCCCCGAACATCAATCGCACTGGTGGCCTCGTCCAGAATGAGAATAGTAGGTTCTCTGATGATACTTCGCGCTATAGCCAGGCGCTGTTTCTGACCTCCGCTTAATTTCGTGCCGTTCTCACCCACAAGTGTCTCATATCCCTGGAGATCTTTTAGCAACGAGAATGGAAAGTGGGCATTTTACATACCTTGGGCAGCCGATCGATGAACTCATCAGCAAATGCTTCTTTGCACGCATTTTCCACTAATCCAGCTTTCACTGAGTCAGGCTCATTTTCCCATTTGGTACCGATTAACCCGTAAGAGACGTTCTTGAAAATCGTATCATTGAATAAGAACGGCTCTTGTTGCACAAGCCCAATGTTAGATCTCCACCACTTGAGATCCAGCTGCTGAATATTGCGCTGGCCCACTGAAATGCTTCCTTGTTCTGGAGAATACCATCTCTCTGTGAGTGCGACGATAGTACTTTTACCTGATCCTGACGGGCCAACTATTGCTGTTGTCTTGCCTCTCTCAAACCGCGCGTTGAGACCCATGAGAATTTGGGTATCCGGTCTAGAAGGGTATGAAAACTGCACATCCTCGAAGACTATGTCCCCTGAGCTGAGGGCAGCTGCATCGCGGTCTCCGCCAGAAGCAATTCTTTCCGAATCAATTATTTCAAAAAAGGAAGCCGCTGCACTGGCCGCTTTGGAGATCATCATTAATGGCGATGCGATACTACCTAGTACGCTCACTGCAATCATGACCGAAAAGAATACCCTAGAACAGTTTGTGAGTAGCGAAAAAGTAACGCTGGAGGGAGAAGACGTACGTTATGACCGTGTTGATATTCGGTATATGACCCTGCTGGAACAGTCTCAACCCCAGCCAGAACGCCAATGCGTAGCTGGCGTACATGGCAAAGAAGAGAAGACCAAACTGGAGCCCCATAACGACAGACAAGCTCATTCCTCTTTTCCGAGACTCTTCGACCCATTGACGATATTTTTTGGCCAACGGTGCCTCGGCGCCCAGCGAGATGACTGTTCGAATGGAACCAAAAACTTCCGCCGCGATTGCCGAGTGTTTTTCATCTGCTTTGTCCACATTCTGCTGGATTTTGGAAATCGCGGGCAATGTAAGACAGCATACTATCAGAATGAAGAGTATAGCCGAGCTGGTCGCAAGGGTCAGGGCCCATGAATACTTGAAGGCTATGACATATGCGGCAATCAAAAGGGCGAGGGATTGGAACAAAATGGCCAGTTTGTCGGAGATGCTTTGCTGAATGGAGTTGGAAGAAGTCGTGATGGCGTTGACAACTGTGCCGACTGATACTTGGTCCAGTTTACTTAAAGGCTGGGCGAAGAGTGATCCCATGTATTCAAGTCGTAAAGACGCTGAAACTCGAAGGCTGGTAACACGAAAGCAGTACTATGGTGGATTTTGAGCGGGTTAGCTTTGGGGGAAGTACTGCAGTTTCACTTGGGGCATCCTAAGCATACCATTGAAAAGTATGTCAAGACGAATTTCGCGATGAAGAGGTAGACGA